AAGGCATGAGGTTGTGGAATTTTGAAATTTTTCAAAAAATGGAAAAACCCTGGAAATTGCGAAGCCCTATCATGGCGCAAAAGTTACCGTAGATGAATTTAAATAACAGTTGTGACGAAACTAGAAAATCGAAGCCGGGCTTCGCGACGCCTTCCGCCGTCAAGGCAGATGAAGCTAACCTTTCTTGATATAACGTTGTGTATGTTGACAGAAAATCGACGTCGTGTGTAAAAAGTTTTTGAAGGACTTATTTTTACCGATGACGCCAACCTAACTTAACCTAACCTAACAAAACCTAACATAACCTAACCTAACCAAGCCCAACCTAACCTAATCTAACCTAATCCAACTTAACCTAATCTAACCTAATCCAATCCAGGCGTCGCGACGACGAGCATCACGACACCAATGACGCAAAAGATACCACAGATGAAGTTAGACATCACGGAAGACAAAAGTGGAAAAGCGACGCCCGGCGTCGCGACGAATACTGTCATGATACTACCACAAGACCCAGGAATGTGAATCGAATGATAGGGATAACGTTGATTACAATTTTGAAAAACCGACGCCTGGCGTCGCGACGCCGAAAATTGCGAAGCCCTATCATGGCGCCAATGTTACCGCAGATGAATTTAAATGTCACTCCTAACGGAATTAGAAAATCGACAACGTGCGTCGCGACGCCTTCCTCGTCACGCCAAATGAAGCATACCAACCTTGGTATAACGTTGGGTACGTTGACAAAAAATCGACGCCGTGTGTAAAAAGTTCTTATAGGACGTAATTCTACCGATGACGCCAAACTAACCTAACCTAACCTAACCCAACCTAACCTAACCTAACCCAACCTAACTCAACCTAACCCAACCTAACTCAACCTAACCTAACCTAACCTAACCCAACATAACCTAACGTAACATTACCTAACCTAACCGAAACTAACCTAACCTAAACTCTGAGACATGCGGAGTCTGGCAGAGATCGGGGGACGCAGAAAACGTGTCTGACGGAGACCGGTTGAAGGACAGATCGGGTGAGACAGAGCGTATCTGGGTTAGATCGGGTTTGACAGAGACGTGTCATAGTATGTATCAGTTTAAGAAAATTTTAAAAAAAATTAAAAAAAATTTTTTTGCTAGAAATTGTCTTAAATGTGCAGAAAACCAAACATTTTCGAAATTTTTTAAAACATTTTGAAAGAAAATTCTTCCATTTTTTTGAATTTGTGCGCTTTTTGAACAATTTCCAACTTTTTTGAGCTTTTGAAAATTTGGAAAAATTTGATTTTTTTTCAAAAATTCTCCCCACCTGTCAGAATAGTGCTCAGAAATCAAATAATTCTGCAAATTGTCTAATAAGCGCGCAACACTAAAAATTTTCGAAAAATTCACTAGCTTGGAAAACAATCCTGCGAAGATGACTCCAGAGGCCCATCAACAAACAAGTTCATGGACCCTCATGTAACTGCATATTACAACCCACTGTGACCCGTTCATACCACTGCCCTGGCCTCTGCCTATATGCTACCTGACATTCTGGGATCAATCAATTCCTAGACCCTGATGCATTCAGTATAAGAATGGCCCTGACCTATCTCCCCGGGTTCTGCATTCTTCTGGTGACCTACTTTTGAATTTGAAAGAAGCTACATGTATAAATACACTATTCTCATGAATTATGTTTTTAAAACTGGTTAATTTATTACACATTTTCTCTGTCCAATTCTCTGCCATTAAATTATATTACCCTCTCCTTCGTTTGTCATTTCCTGAAATAAAGTTTTCGAAAATGTCCTTCGTTTGTCATTTCCTGAAATAAAGCCAACAGGTCACTTGAACAGCATCAGCTACACCTCACTTTAATCAATGCCTTCTGATTACTGAGTATTAAATATTTAATAGGTGGGATCAACATGAAAGCAAGACATGGTTTTTTCCTCTCTTCTTTGTAATGCATCCAGGTTTACAAATATGGTACTTGGTATGTTCTTATTAAGGCTAATGTTACAAATTAAGATCTTACATCGTGATATGTGACTCAAGACCCTTTTACCTTATAAGAAAGCAATTTATTTTCTAAAAGTTAATAATTTTATCACAGAATTTTCAATTGTACTTATTTTAACAAAATTTGATTCTGATATATAATTTAGTATCAACAAAAGTACTGTAATTGTAAACAACAAGAAGCAATACTAAAATAGGATTGAAACTAAGTGTATATGCTTATGTTCAATTAATTTACTTTGTTCTGTAGACAATCTGCATCCAGAATAGCAACATACAGGTTATCATGACAAGCCAGATCTGGAAACAAACAAAACACACAGTGCTGTCAGATAATTCAGTTTTGCAGATGAACTTATATTAGAGGTACATGGAACACATTTCTCCAGACAGAAGCATTAAGTTTCTCTGAAACATCATCACCGCATGGCTGTCTTATGGGTTGTGTTAGCGCCATGTATTAGTCCAGTAGAAGATTACTGGTGTTTCATAGATGCTTGCTGAGGGTGCAAATTATGGAGATAGCAAGTTATGTACTGCCTCTGTTAAAACATTAAATTTTGGGCAGAAACAAAACCGAAAGGTAGATTATAGTTTCTAGCAGTGCCCTTTCATTTAATTATTATGTTGTTAATGAAATTTATAAAAACGTGAATTTAGAAGATTAATTTTTTGTTTCTAGCAGTGCCCTTTCATTTAATGATTATGTTGTTAATGAAATTTATGAAAACGTGAATTTAGAAGATTAATTTTTTCATGTAGTTACAAGCATTAAATAAGTTTATTAAAAGTGCATTATATAAAAATGTAATCGTATAAGAGCAGTTTATTAACAAAAGGGTAAAGAACAGGTACTACATTTGATATTGTATATTTATAAGCCAGTTTCCAGCATTAACCAAGCAATAATCCTTATCTACATTAACTGGAAAATTGAAAAACAGAACAATGTAGCAGAAAAAATACTGAATATTTTACTAAATATATTTTGATTACTTTATTAACTTCAGTAGCAGTTAGTACAGATATTTATAATAACATACACACAAATTATACTTTCTTAATTCATCTGTATTTGCACAAAGTCCATTAGCATGAATGCATAATGGGATGGTGATGCCTGTCCGTTCGTTCGTCTTCTTGTTATGAAGATGGAACACACTATTTTTTCTGCTAGTTGAAAACAGAATGAAATTGAGAGTACGAAAATAACAAAAATTGTATGAGAATAATTTATTAAAAAATGCTCATAAAATAGTAATAAATAATAACCACATATTACTGACTATAAAAAAAATAACAATCATAATAGCTCAGTAACACTGGTTTGCACATTTGGAGATCAGTTTCCAGCACAAACAAATATTTTTCTTTTCACTATTCTGTTTAAACAAGCCCTGGGTTCAATTTAGTCTCCTACATTTTGGGTGTCGTGGCTAAAGCGGCCAGAGCGTGAAATCGATCACCTCTTATGCGTCTTCATGGCGTGCTGCTTGAGAACAGGGATATCTTTACTTTTTCTATACTGTCCTTGACGATGGTTCTGGGTGAAACGAACATTTTCTATAATTTTAAATTGCATATAGGCCGTTATTTTAAATGTCCCTCTCCCATGTGAATACTCACGCATTTGTGGGCGTCCTCCGGGGTTGGAGGCTAGTGGCTGGGCGTTTATATGCTACGGGATTCTGTCCATCGGCAGTAGTGGCATTATTGCCGTGGCAGGCGGCAGTAGAGGTCGAGTTGCTGTCGTACAGACAGGCAGACAGGCGAGAACGTGTACAACAAGCGCGGAAGGACGAGTTCACACAACCAGCTAAAGAAACGTTCTGTCTTCACGAGCCAGTGAAATATAACAGTGTCGCCACAAATTTACGTAATTTTATGTAATTAACATAAAGCTTCCTCAAAACAGTGGATATGTCACGGTTTTCTTCGCGTAATAGACATTGTTCAAACGGTTACTGCGTTAATTTAATTATAAATTACGTCTGTTAATGAGCAGGATAATAATAAGCCTACTACTACAATTTTGTTCTCGTGAAGAACCCAAAACGATGAATCTAACTTGTATCACAAGGACATCACACGTCACAGCGATTATAATTTATATTGCTTGTTTGATTGGTAAGTACAATTCATTATATTCCTAGATACTTTTTTCCTAAACTGTGTTATTTTAGAAGAACTCTTCTTTCCATCACCACGTGTTTAATATTGGTTTTATTCGGACCTGTGTCTTATACAAAAACCTGTGTCCTTAACATTTAAAATAATTAGTTCGAATTTAATCTCCCATTCATTCATATTAATTAGCTTTCACAACATATCTTACTTAACTATGCAGGATTACTTAACGAAATTGCCTGTTCTCAAAGTGCAATTGGTTTATCCGTCTTTTGTTCAGACCTCCAGGTTCCCGTTGTTCCAAACTTTTGTTCCAGTGCCTGCTTTATTTTTGTCTTCGTGCCTTTCTGTTGTCCCCAATTCTTTTAGTAGTCTTAAATTTCAGTGATAGTATTTGAAGTATTTGTTTCGGTCGGTTCACAGAAGTTGAAACGTTTTAGATTTAACCCTAAGTGTTTTCGCAGTGCTGAGTTTAAAAATACGTGATAATATGACAAATTTACAATGTTTGCACCGGAAGAGGATGTGAAAATGACACAGTACAAATTACGGAAAAACGAAGTAGCTATATAAACGTATTTAAAAATAGGAAATTACAACTAACTCCATGGTACAGTGTTTTTTTTCGTAAAATCGATAGTCGCTCAAGCAGGAAAGACATTCCATGTTCAGAAGTGTCCGACACTGTAGGCCTACCCTACTACGAGCCAAGTAAATCCATTCCGCACCTTAGTAGCCCGCATCTTCAAAAATGGAATGCTTTCCTAACTGTTTGCTGTTCAGGAACACATTCGAAATGGGTGATAACTTTCGTATCTAAAAGGAGGCCAGCATGGTTTTGATCTTCAGTTTTTACACTTCCGTGTCTGGAGTTTAACTTCGAAGCCTTTGACATTATGTTTTAGGGTTGCACTGGAAAGACAATGCTTAGGCTTTCAGTTTCCCAATATTCTTTCTGAAGTTTCTGAGCACACCTAAAGCCAGCTAAACATTTTGGCGGAGAACAAACAAATTGGTGATACTACGAAAGAAAGTGAACCCACGTTCATTACATTATTAAGCATTATTTATGGTACTCATACAAGTACTCTGTACTTTTAAATGTATGTAATTTTCTTTAAGTGAATCAGGTACAACTCCAAAATATCCAGAACTTCATATTACTGCGAACAAGATTTAATGTCTTAATATAGTAAGGCCCTTTTTATATTTTACTTTACTTAGTATAGTGAGGCTATAGAATTTATTTAAAAATTATATACATCAAATACACCCGTGTCATGAACCATTTTTCCTGTTAACGAAAATGTAACCTGTTGTTACTAAACATAAACAAAAAAGACTCAGACCAGAACAAGGAAAAGATGTACCGTATTACGATGTGTATATTCCCACCCCCCAATTTTCACAATATTTTAGCGACAAATTAACCTTCACTGCAAATACAAAATAAAGATTCTAAAATATTAATTTTACTAGAAGTTCTATATCCTTCGTTGAAGGATCAAAAGTAGAGTTTATTTAACTTACGTTAACTCACTCATTGTAGTATATTTTTTTGAAAGATCAAAAAAGTGAAGCAGGTACTGACCGGTTATTTGTATGGGTGTAAAACACGGTCTCTTACTAAAGGTGGACAGAGAACTGTTTGGATCTAAGGACTATGTAGTAAGTGACCGATCTAAGAGATAACTTGAACAGGAAGTGCGTCATTTATGCAGGTCATCTAGAAATAAAAGAAGCCGGTAAGGACTAGATAGGCTACTAGTTTCATGAAGGCAAGGGGTGTACACAGAATTTTGGAGAAATCTCTTGGTAAACTCAGGATGTGAGACGGTAATTTCACACAAATCTTAGGCAGGGTGTGAGAAAGAAGAGACGGCAAATAAAACCGGCTAACGATCGTTTCCTATGCAGATTTTGGTATTAGTGGCATTGAATCTGCCGGTTGCAGGACTATTGCAGCTATTAAGCTAAACAATCGATTCTTCGGCCCTGCTATCCCATTAAACATATAAGAATGTAAAACCTCGATTAAAGCATTACCATATATTCGATTGAGATGGACGTTCTAATTTTAGTGAAAGAGCTTGTTGAATCAAATCCCTGTTTCCCTTTAACCATATGGAGCAGAGACGTCATGAATGCCTTATGGATTATGGATAGCACGAGACATCACCTCTAATTCAATTTGGAAATTTTGGAAACAAAACTGTTTCGGATTCTGTTGTCTTGTGGTTACTTTTAAATCCCAAGTCAGTTATTCAACAAATATTTCTATTGTTGAAATCCTTTGAAAGGGTTACAAAGTTCAAATATTTGGGAACAACAATAACAAATCAAAATGATACTTGTGAGGAAGTTAGGAGGAGACTAAATTCCGGAAATGCTTGCTACTTCTCAGTCCAAAATATTTTGTCTTCCCGTCTGATTTCTAAGAACCTGAAAATGAAAGTATACAAAACAATAATCTTGCCTGTTGTTTTGTATGGGTGCGAAACATGGTCCCTCACTCAGAGGGAGGAACACAGATTGCAGGTGTTGGAGAATCGGGTGTTGAGGAGGATATTTGGGCCTAGGAGAGAAGACGATGGGGCGTGGAGAAAACGCTGGGGAGACCTAGACGTAGATGGGAGGATAATCTCAGGCGAGATCTATGGAAGATAGGAGTTGAAGGAGACTGGATTTTGTTGGCCCAGGACAGGTTCTGGTGGAGGGCTTTGGTTAATTCGGTGATGAACCTTCGGGTTCGGTAAGCCATCTAGTTAGTTAGTTAGTTGAAATTTCAGATTTTCACGACGATTATGAAGATGAGAACATGAAATCCTGTTCATTTAAGTAATTCACTCATCGCCAATTGCACATCATCTACATCACACATATCACTGATTAAGCTGCAAGATTTTCGTCTGTTTCGGCTGCAACTATTTCTTCCTACGGTTTATGCAGAAGGAATGTTCAATGCTTCGAAAATTTATATTATGCAGTCCGGCACAACAACCTATATACAAGTACTTTTACTTGAAAACATCAGTCTTCATTTCGTATTACAGCAGGTGTTTTTTTCCCCTTATTTCCTTTCTTTCTTTAATTCTTTCATGACTGCGTTTTACAGCCATTCATTTCTGAGCGTGACTGTACTCCATTAGAATTTAAATTTGGAAAATTATCTCGCGAGAGCAAATGCAGTATGTTTCATGTGATTAATGACAATAGCTTAATGAGTCACAACTAACGTCGGGACATGTAAAAGACGTCTAAATAATTGACAAGAGGCGATAAGAAAGAAACAGAATGTTTCGTCATTCAATAGGTCACCACGGAACAGTTGCACCTCTTGAATGAATGGGAACATTTAAGTTTTTGTGTTAAAACAAGAGGAAGCAACAGAAATAAACAAATCATCGATGACACGAAAATAAGTTACATAAGAAAATCAATTCGATTTGTTCTGAAGGAAACAAATTCAATGCCTATAAGAGTTACATATTGCTTTGATGATATTAATAATAATTCACTTCTTTTTTCAGTGTGTTTGACTATAGAAAGTCAATAACAAGCAGACACCAAAGAAATACGCTATAAAGGAACAAATTATAGCAATAAAACTCAAACACCTAGCAAATCTATAATTTCCCATGCAGTCGAACTGTCCTCAAAGGAGACCACACATTTCATCTAGTGCCAAGGTTGAGTGTGCCTGGGTCTATACTTCTACTACTCCATACTTTTTCATAGAATGTTGCATAATTAAGCCCTTTACTTTAACTTGTTACTTTCTTTGAGAAGTGAAAATCTTTATTTAAAGTTTCCTTTTTGTGAAGGCCGAAATAACAAGGGTCCGAAACGTCGTACTTTTTCAACTCAATAATGAAGAATGTCGAAATGAAATATGCTCACAGCATTTATAAACTTTTACGCTGAATGACCGTCTACATGTCCATCCAAGCCAACGCGTAGGCGAGTATCTTCAGAACGATGTTAGTCTTCTGGGTAGACACTCCGTGCGAGCACACAGGTAGATGCCTGCGTCTTCAAGTTTCATTCAGCACAAGTCATTTGTTCTGATGGTTATTACGAAAAAGAGCAGCCTGATTCACTGTGTTTAAACAAAAACGAATTACTAATAAAAGGGCAGGTATAAAGCAGGCTATATATATTCCTGAATCTGTCCTTAAAAATCTCCAATTACGTCGTATATCACTTTACAAGATGTCCGGTTCGTCGCGTAACTTACATTAATACATACTGCTGGCAGTGCGAATTTTTGAGATATGAAAAACGCTACATACATTAAACGTAATATTTTAAAGTTATGTATATATATTAACTATTTTTCAAGGTCATTGTCTCGTACTGAAAATCAACATGGTATACGGGCGAAATATGTGCTAGATCATTGTTGTACAGTGTGTGAAAGTAGATGCAGCAGGAGTCATACTGGCGTCTAAATGCTATATTAATCATGTAGACCAATTTGTGAATTTAATGTGGCGACGGAAACTGTGTGTCACAAAGTTGGATAGATAGGTGAGTGGAGAGGATTGTTTCCTGAAAAAAGAAGATGCAATCTCACTCAGTGCTGCAAAAACAAATAATAACCGACACTAGACAGGTTTTCAATTTGCGAACATAATTAAAGTGCACTGTTGCTGACAGGTCTGGAGCACATTTATCGTGACCCAATTCGCGTTGACCAATTGTTTGCAGACTGCATTCCGCGGAACCCCAGCGTTCCGCGGACTGTAGCTAAGCTTGTCATGGTTGGACAATTTAAATCACAAGACTGAGAACTGATCTTCGTAACGTAGGCTACTTTTCTTCGTTCTACATTACAATTTTATGCTCATATGGATATAGCAATATTTCATCTCATCCACTCACGGTTGTGGATACTATTCACAATAGATGTCTCCTCCACATGCGTGATAGACGTCTCGCCGAACCGACCCTGCTGGATTTGATTACACCTGTAGTATTTGGCGAAGAGTGAAAATTAAGACGCTTGCAATAATTTAATTTTCTCCAAACTTAGTTACTAATATCTCTCTAATATGTCCAAATATTTTCCTCGCACATCGTTATCAAACAACCTCAAAGAGTATCCTTCCCTTAGAGTAAGCAATAACGATGTGACACATCAGTAATAATAATGATTATGCCAGTACTCCTGGTAATGATGATAATTACCTTCACCGCAGTTAAACTGATGGCACCCATTTCAAGTGTAGACCAATTCATAACCGTTTCAGTGCATGGAGCTTAGACGGCATCTGGCCGATTTAAAGGGCCTATAATTCTTGTATTCGGATTCTATCTCCGATTTTAACTACGAACGAGGTCTTGCGACTTCCATAGGTATCCACTGTCGACACTCAAGCTCACGTATAACACACATATCCTTCATGACTTCTTCGAATTCGTCACTAATAATTATACACTAATCCTAAATTACATAACTTCATTAGCTGATATAACACTGTGCAATCCCCTAATAAAAGCTTAAGATCAATTTGAAACTAAGAGAGATCAGAGTCAAATGAGTGAGATTTCAGGTTTTCACGGTGATGAGTTTGAAGATGGCTGTCTTCTATGTTGTTGCACCGTGCAGCTTAATAGAAGTTTACCGACGTTTCGCTGGCACTTACTGCCTCTAACATCAGAGAGATTTCCGTCCTGTGAATAGTGAATTTCAGTGCTGGACTATTCCACTGTCTACTTTTTCTTATGTTCATCTGTTTCAGAAAAGAATATAGTGAATAAAATTAAAATAACCCTGTAACGTGAATAGCCAAATGGACTTCAGTTTCCCTGTCTGAATTCCTGTGTGTCCATAGAGTGTCAGG